AGAAACCATCGCCCTCAAAAAGTTGGGACACTTCGAACTTAGTTTCGTGCCAATCCTGCCTGTTTGTCAATGATCCTGTTCTTTGTCCCAGCTCACTACGGCGATCAAGTTAGCAGAGTTACCTGACTGACATTTGACGCCGCTGGTCGTCTATGGATGACTTTGAGGAGTATTTCTCATTTATTCATGCTATTTTTCATATTCAGCTTTGCCCAAACTTCTTTCAAGCGCCATGCAGCACGACGTTTCCGACCCCGTCAGTGTCCAACTCGTAATTGGTCAGTCTAAGGAACCGCCTATGATGGAGCAATTCGAATTTGAAGATCAAGACAAGAAATTTAGTTGTACAGAGTACCTACGTAGTGGTGAATTTTCTCAGGTAAGCCATCCCTCACTATCCCCTTTTTCGTGTGCCCGCAGTTTCTTGCAGTAACGTTTCGGTTGCGTGCGAAATAACTTCTCTTCAAATGTGAGAATTTTACACTTAATAGTTTACCCATTTGTGGTCACACAGTGGTACAACTCATTTCAAATCATGACGTTCGGTTGAAACGTCTTTGAATTTGTTTTTCGTGATGTATCACGTGGATAATGATGAATGGGTGGAAACAATTTGCTCGTTAGTGGTTATACAAATCTGACTGATTAGTGTTTTACTGAGCTTCCGTAGATCGAATTCCAGACCTGTATCGTTCATGGAGTCTGGGGTTAGATTTTGCACACGTTTGGTCGTGCGTCCTTTATGCTTTGGTCCATGCGCCAGATCGATGAACGCAGCTAAGTGGAATCTGACTTGGTCAACTTTTAATGAGATTTGTTAGTCTTGGATCAGCAAACACGGCGCATCATATCAAAGCGGTGGCACTGGTCACCTGCTCGATTTGGGTCCAGTTTAGATTGTGGTAGGATCACCGTGTGATGCCTTTTGAACACATCCATTGTCTATTAATGACCGAACGGAAACATTTCTCGGTGCCATTGAGTGTTTTTAGCTACTTTTGCTGCCCTTCCCTTAAGAGTGACCACCTTCGGGATCACTCTTCCTGGAAGCGTTTTCTAACCGAGGGCACAAGTTCCTGGTTTTACAACTTCAACGTTTTCTGCTCAAAGCCATTGTGGGCAGTAAGTAACAGGGTTGCCTCAATAACTTGTTGGAAATCTAATGATGTTTCCGTTGACGACAGTTACCAAATATATTTCGCTCCAGTTGATGAAATTCGTTGGCCGAATGTTTCCGCAGATTTCACAGTGTTCACCTAACTGTCACACAGTCATGTTGAATGAACATCAAAGCTAATAAAAGGGTAGGGGTTGAGACCTAGATAAAAGCAAGATGCCTATATCTTTTGGACAGCCTTCGAATGTATATGATTCGCCACCGCGTGGGAACAAGGCTGCCGTATCGCAATTTCCACTGGGACAGCGTCATTTTGGTGCTCATCCATACATCATCGAACCATGATAAATTGAGCCAAACACTGTGGCTTAGTAGCGACAGGAGATTGGTAGTATTATTGTCAACATCGGTAGTAACTTCAGTGTTAAACACGGAACAACTCTGCTGCCTTCCAATTGCCTCAAGATTTGGAACTCTTGGCCATACGTCTTTCGAAAGTACATGATTTTGCTTCTCAAGTTTTACCCAAGGTAGGCTGTACAAACCGATGACTGTCAAACGGAAGTTCGACGTCTGCATACCCCAGGTTTATTAGCCTCGCTTCGTGTTGTTTAGTAAGTTACTGAGGTACAATCTTTTGAATTGTGCACTTTGTGATGGCATGAAAGGCCTAATTGCCTAAAGTATTGAAAATGGGTGACCCTGATGAGCTCCTTGATTTATGAGAGGGCTTTGGATAAATTAAGACACTCCCATAACTTTGCCCAATCTGTCGGCATATTCGAAATTCTTTTCGGGAACTTCCTTCCTTTTTGTCGAAGGTACACCCGACACTGTTCAAACACTTAGGGTGATTTACGGACACGATCAGTGTCTTCCTTCTTGTTGTTAGCCTCACCTCCCATGTAACATCATTATTCGTTTGACTACAATGATAGCCAATATTTGTGTCATCAGTGGTTGTGTCAATCATTTTTTATACATAGATGTTGAGATAGCATATGGGTTGAGAAAATAGCTTCTCACTTGAGCTAGGTAGCCTGTTAACACTGGGCTGTGTGGCAGCCGTGCACTGAAAGAATGCCATGACCTTGTGTAAACTTTTTAACATAGGTGTAGTTATCGGCCAACTGATCCCATCCGTTATCGGTTGCTTTCAAGATGGAACACCGCAGTAACGGATGTTTAAGCGTCTTATGGAGGCTGCTACCAAACAAGATATAGTTAGGTGCTGTTACTAAACGCGGTCGGTCGTGTGCTGTTGACAAAATCATGAAGTCTCTTTGAGTCCTTACAGACCAGACTAATGGACGTAGTCCTTGAATTTTACTGAATTTAGCCGGATTGATTGTGGAGCGTTTCTTACGTCAAATTTGTTGTTGATATCCCCAAACGGCTTGTTATAGTTTTTGTCACCGCAGTCTTTTACCCAACCTAGTGGCCGCATACGGAGTTCGTTTTGCGCGGAGCCAGTATCATTTCTCAGTTGTCTTACTTGACAGAGGCTGCCTGAGGGATCCACGAAAAGTGGCCACTCCTCTATTCTGGGATTTACTATTAAAGTGTTCACCAAGGGGCCAACCAAAATTGGCTTCTGGGTCTTGGTCTCCCTCAATGTACCCTTAGCCACGATCAACTCATGCTTAAGTGTTGAAACCACGAACTGACGTTATCCGAACTTCCAAATGGTTAACTTTTACGATTTTACTTAGTAAGACTGGGAATTCACGGGGCACTGCAGCCGTTTCTCCAGCATTGAGAACTATCTTCTGGACAGTAATTGAGTGCATCACCTTAAGACTGCGGTTGGCTGAACTGCGGCGAAGTTTTCCTATAACTGTACAAGATACTACGTTCTTCACCGACTCAAAGCAGTTGACCATTATTGTTAAATTTCAATAGTTCGGGCACGTCCTCCTCCAGGTTCCAAACTATTCGTGTCGCCACCACTCTGGTCATGCTCGCATTGTGACACCGGAGGTCATTTGAAGACCTGGAGCTCAACAGTCAGGACTGCTTTTGGACTCATTGGGTTCTCATATTCTCTACTGGATTGAACATTTGGTCAAAAGGTGGCTAATACTGTTTTTGGATCTTGTAGTTGATAGCTGGTGCAAATTAGGGACACCAGGGGACCAGATTCATGCCTCCGTAGTTGACAGCTATCGTCAAGTAAAGTGAATGAGTCAACAAGCAGCCGTAAAGTTCAAATCGCATGACCTACTGTCAGGTGATTCATTGAGGGATCAGCCTACAATTTCTTCCAATTGTAGTGTTCTGCTATCACCATCGATCTTCCTCGTTGCTTATGTTTTCAGTACCGAAATTGCTAAATTTTCTACCTATATGAATTAAACTGCTTGCAGAGTGTTACTCCCACAGGAAAGAGCCATGTCGATCATTGGCAATGGATGATGGCTCATTGAGAACTTACATCGAGCATTTTATCCAACAGAATTAGCGAAATTCGCGCAAGCGGAACGAAATTGTACCTAGTGGGTTTTTTAAAGAATTGTATGGTCATGCCTTCCAAGACTCTAACAATTCACCAGAAATTCACTCATCTAAATAAAGTGTGACGTGGTGCAATGGTAAACGGTTCGGTAATACTAACATTTCTTTTGACATCGTTTGCCATATGCAGGCCGAACTGTGGATTGCAGTTATCAAATATTGAAAATTACTTTTTTCTGAGAGCTTATTGCTGTATCGTTCGGACCAGCGGAAGTAGAGGTTACTCACTGAGTCACTTCAATTCGTCATCTAATTGTTTAGTAGTAAAACAAGCAGGTAATTTAATAGACAATTAGTGGATAGTTTAGCATCAACGCCTGACTAGACCGTCGTTCTTCACTGAACAAAACTGTGGCAACTGGAACCAGGGTATCTTAATACATGGTTCATGACTGTACAACTGGCTTACATTTACTGTAGAACTTGTGATCGGTTTCACCCCATGACACCGTCGAATCACAGCAATAGGTATTTGGCTCTTTCCATTCACCAACAGTCCCGTTCGCATCCATATATCATTTTTGGTTTTCCTCGGAGTTTATACAAGCGATATCCAATTCCGCTCAGTTTGGGCCCGGAACCAGCTGGTCAGCTTGTTAGTGCGGTGGTTCGCTTATCTTGGTAATGGAGGATGGGGCACTTACTCACATTTTCCGCTTAGATTAACAACCACACGGACTGCATTCTTTAAGCATGTCACACTCGCACATCGTTCCCGTTGATATGCACTCAAGAATTGACGTTTTCGCGCGGTCGACGTAACTTCGGTGTTCCAGCGAAACGTTTGCCAGGACCCACGGAAATGCACGAATGTGTGCTCAACTTTGTTTCGCTGACAAATCGCAAAAATTGAAGTCAACTATTTTATCTCTTCTGAGGGTGATTCTTCATAAATTTAAACCGTCTCAAAGTATTTCTCGATTATTACACCAGAGATGCTCCTTTCGTAGAGGTTGGAAGTTTCTCGTAAGGGACGAGCACTGTACTCATCGACAGTGAGAAGGCACATATCTCCAATTCATTTGGTGTACCCTCACCTGTTTCGAGGAGAGTTCGCCTACGATACCGTGTGTCCGCGTCACGTATCTAAGCTTTCTACTAATTATGCCACAGATGGTGGCAGGAGAGCCTTGAACTTGCCGAAATCGATTTTTTCGGCTTGCTATATGAAACTCTGGACTAGTCACATTGTTTAGGTACATCTCTTGATCCATATTTCCCAACGTGAATGATAACCTATGCTGTTGTAAATGGAATTTTCACTCCGACTTTTTTAAATCTTCGCACTTTTATACTCGGCGCAAGCGGTAACTTGGTTTCTGGACAACTCTGATCATACTTCATGCCCTTCTCTGTAGTCAGCTGACGTGAACACGTGAGGTCACGTGATGTTACTTGTCGATGAACTACGTGTGAGGGAGTTTACCGCCCGTGCGAGCTGTCAGTCATGTTTGGGATTTTTAGATTTGCCTGTCAACACTTCGATTCACGGGGATCCAGCGTGTGTCGTGATTATCAGCTCTCATCCTCGCTAGTCCATCTTATCATGGTGTGCGCCTCGCGATTTTCGTTGATGTGCTCATTAATCTAATCGATAAAAACCGCCTTTGCGCTGGTTTACTTATTTTCTTTACGTTTAGTTCAGATCTCATTACCTACCTGCTTTGTTGCCTCTTCGTTTCGCTTAACTAGCTCGCTCAGATGATGGCTCACAGTGCGGAGGAATTCGTTCGTCATGTGTGGCTTCGTGGATGGGAAGTGGTTCATCATCGAAGTCTTCCAGCCTGGTTAAAGGATAATGACTTCATCCTCCGCTATCATCGACCCCAACTGAATACTTTCTGGGCCTGCTTCAAGTCGATTTTTCGTGTTCATACGGAGACTGGAAATATTTGGACTCATCTCCTAGGTGAGTGTTTTTACCTTTATTTTGACACACCTACTTTACATGTCAAGTTAGATTATTTACTCATGTCTTTTAGGCGCATGTTTAAGATTTGCGTGATAATGGTTCCTTTACTTTCTTCTAAATTCAGTTTTTGTGTAACTTTTTATGGACAACTTTGTGGAAGCCTTTTTAATTTACCATTCCCACGCAATTGATTACGAGGATCAGTTTATGGTAGCTTCTCTGGTGGCACTGTTCGAGAGTGCTGGGCTATAGAAACCCTTTGGATGTTTTGATACAGAACACCTTTCTTTAGTCCAGAACAACCTGATAGGAATGCTTGATCTGATCCACCCAATCAATGTATTTGCTTGGGAGAAAGGGACTTTTTACGTTGAAGCTTATCGTGGAAAAAATCATGTGATCAGTTCTCTGATTAGTTTATATCTGGCAGGCGCCGGGCTTTTCTCTGAATGACACTGCCGGTCAATACTCGATGGGGTTCATTCTATACAGACGGGCTAAGCGTGATTCCAAGGTATCCAGTCGACCAACTTATCTGTGGGAGTTTGTGTCCGTGCGGTTTGTCCGGCGACTCAGTTCATCTACGGAAAAACCCCTCAGCAAGGGACATTCGTCGGAAGAACACAAATATCCCCACTTTCTGGGTGTCCATTTCTCACTGGTTCCACAGATTTCTCAATATCGAATAACAATCAATAGACCTATCTATTCTGAGCTTACGTGATGTGGCAACACAAATATTTAATGAATCTGTTGGGGTGAATACGTTTTTCAGGTAATCGGGAAGATGCGTCCCTTTCGTGAAAACTTTCGAACAGTTGTTTTTCAGTCTACGCCATATTGTTATTATGTTCAGTAGTGGGTACGTCACATGACGCTATTACTCCCCAAAGTCTCAATCACTCCAATATAGGTCAGCGATGCTATTTCCATAACTCCTCTCACCTTTTGACCCACGAATTTTCCTAGTGTCGTTCGGAGGTGCTTGTTTTGCCCAAAGTGTACCCATCACTAGGTAAGAGACCAGCCTTAATTTCCAGAGGACCACTGTTTCTGGTTCTCATCGTAACAACTGACCGTAGATTTTATAACGAGATTTGGGTCATACAAGCCAGCCATTGGTAACTGCAATCTGGTTAACTTGTTAACTCTGCTTCCTGCAGACGTGTGCCAGAAGTTGTGGTTTTTTCTGATATGGAACGGAGAAAGTATGTGTGGGTCTTCGTAGTTCTGTTTTCTTATTTTCTTCCACGTACCGCGACCATTCTATCCCGCCCAGCCCCGATTTTCCTAGGGTGCATAGTTCCAATTTTTTCTAAAATACATTGGAGATTTGATACCGCATCGCGATGTCCCACAGTAACAAACTGCTTGCTTGTACCTATATCTATCTACATTATATCTTCTAAAACAAAGTACAGAATTTTTTCCGAGTCTCAATCCTTTGCTTGTGTGAGTGGCCTTAATTACTTCGATCAATACGGCTGTTGTTTCCTACCCCAAGGCACTTCGGCTGGTTTTATGACCTTGGTGTTACTCCAGTGAAAAAGCCTTGAGAGCCCAGCGTGATGGGTCAGTATGTGTGGGATAGTATGTAGGTGTATTTCCACTCGCAAAGATTAAGTTGAAAAAGGCCCTAGTAACGAAACTTTGCAAATTAGTTCTGGTCTGGAAACACAGGCAAATGCAAACACAGGTATAGTGCATCGGCCCATCTGATGACTCTACACAGAAAGGAATGCCCGAAAACACTGCCATGGGATAAATGGGATCAGTGCGATTTTTGATTAATTTTTTATTTGGTCTCACTTCACACTTCATTGTCAGAATACAATATTACACTATCGAGTCAGGTACTTGAACTCATCTCTCCCGGCCTGTCAGACGGGAGGGATGTCAGGTAAGAAAACCAGCCACTTCGTTCAGCTGTAGTACCCTTTCGGTGCCTAGCTGCCATGCCACACTAAGGAGGGCACGAGGGCTGTTTACTGTAAAGTTGCTCAAGCCTAGACAGGGGAAGTCGGGAGGCACAGCTCGGGTCCGAATCACGGACCTTCCGGTCAATAAATTCGCGCTCCAACCACTTGGTCCATCTCGCTCCACCAGCCACTTAGCAACTTGTTTTCCCTTCGAGAGAAATTTTTCGGTATCGTGGGATTGTATCTAGTGTTCCCAGTTCGCATGAGTGGGGTACCTCCAGGTTTTTGAGAATCTAGCGATANTCAGATGTGAAATTCAGGAATGCCTCCAAATGTAGGGTATTCTTTATATATTGATCCTTTGTTGATCAGGTGTGCTGTAAACTTAATCAGTTTATTTACTGGGTCGTAAGCCATCAGCGCAAACGAGCTGGCTTATCCCATCGGGAGGGGGCGTCGACCAGCAGAGTTCGATAAGCGTGCGACATAATGACTACCTTCAGTCGTTAGCCAGACCATCAAGACACTATCTGCTTGAGTATAACTCTGAGCGACTGAGCGAGAACCACTGGGCACCTGAAAAGCGAAGTGTGAAGAGAGTCTCTTCAACCCGGCCGATTTTAGTGTTATTACCGACGGGACATTTTACGCACGTTGTTCAAAGGGAAAATCTCGAAAATTGAGGTTTCAGAGTTCAGGAAAATGGCAAGCCACCTACCCAGCAATGTATGTTTCCATGGAAATTCTAGCAAATTGCCCTGAAAATAGGCTGTGTGGATAAACCGTACTTCCTAGTTACCAACACAGACATTTTTCTCAGTTACCTAACTCTGAGCTCTTGACTGAACTGTCGGGTCCACCGGGTGATAACGAGTTGTGGGGGTCCGACCTGAGATTGTGCCATTAACGTCTTTCAACAGGGTGACCCGTCAAGTAGCGGTGCGCAGATTAGAGAACCCTTTGCATAGCTGGTGATCTATCTGATCTTGAGAGGCTCAGCTGACTTCAAGCGTACAGGGAACACAGCGGAAAAACACGACCACTTGTACTCTTGTACCGAGTAGATGTTTTTAAATTCTAATCTGACCCAGGTTGACTTTCATTTTAGAATGTCGCCTTTTTTGTACCCATTTCATCAACTCGACTAGGTGTATGTTATAGGATGCGTATGATATGAATCGGTTGTGTTTACACAGCAGTCCACAAATAGATATAAATAGGTCTATTTAGCCATAAGAGTTAAGGGATACGTGTGGTCCTAATGGTGGAAGGATTCGTCAGCAGCCATCTTATCGGAAATTCAATCACTGGGCATAAATTTGTCGTTTTTACTGGGCCTAATGACAATCATTTGACGACCTATGCTGCTGTGTGCGATAGGCTAGTATTATTTTAATGCGTGCATCCCATAACATTCAACTTTCAGTTGTTTTTTCACCCTTTGATCGAGTCGTCGGCACTGTCATTATCGTTGGCAGCAATGCATCAGTGCTTAACTGTAAGAAAAACAGCCTTTTAGATGTAACACCCTTTCGATGCGTTGTTGGTATGCCACCTGTAGGAAGCACGAGGGCTGAGATGCTGCTAGGTCGCCCAAGCATATATATGGGTTCGAAACATAGACCTTCCGTCCCGTAAGTTAGTGCCTTAACCACTGGATTATCCTGAGCTTACTGTCGGCGACCACGTTCATTTGGTGTCCGTTTTTTTAGGACCGAACTTTTGTGGCTCATTCCTGGTAGAACAATAACATAGATATAATATATTTTACATCATCAACGAGGACTTCAGCTGGGTTCTGGTTGATTCTCCAGTCAAAGCCAAATTGGTGTGCTTCTGAGTATATCAACGAGGACTTCAGCTGGGTTCCAGGTGAATCTCCAGTCAAAGCCAAATTGGTGTGCGCCATTCTGAGTATGAGAATGCTAGCCACCTGGAAAGAGCTACTTTTACTCTCCTGTTACGCAAATCATTACGAAATCATATCAATACTACCTCACAAAGCGACAATCCGGGTTGCTGTTGTTCGTTGACACCTGACGAGAGTGAACCAAAAAGGAAGATAAATTCCGGACTATACACCAATCGGAGTCATTGTCACGCACAAGCGTGACTACTTGGTCAAGGTATGAGACGTTTCATCAGCCTTCACCCAATTATAAGTTGAAATCGATAACCACCATACCCTTATACACACGGCAAAGGTCATTACCCTGTTAATACGGCCATGTCGTATTTTAGAAGACCATACTATTTGGCGCATATGCTGCACCGTTTCGATAAAGTTTACCTTCCCGCCACAATTGGTCAGGTCAGCTTCCTTACTACATTGCTGAAATCACACGATGTTGTTGTACAGTCTGATGCTCAAAACTACCTAGCTGCGCTTCGCAGATCAAATGGTCGGTCGGAATTTTAAAGAACATTTCCTTCTGTGGAAGCCTACCGATGAACGTAATAAGTCCAAGTGTATTCACCTCGGTCTGTTGATAATACCCCTTGTTTAACCGAGTGAGACTTGGTCTCCATCTGAACGGACGGACAGGATGACAAACCACACTTGTGCACACTGTTAACAATTTAAATTAAATGAAACCCCCGACAACCTCGATGTGGTTTCTGATACTTTCGTTTTCTCCACTGTCCTAGTTTCAGGGGACTCAATTCGTTTGTTCACCTCGTTTTCTACAGTCTGTAACCGAGGGTTTTCTAAAACTGAAAGCTTCTGATACTTCACTTCGGTCTCCACTATTGAGGAATGAATTGATCTAAGGTTTGTTTTGAGTCCTGTCCAGCCCTTTACCTCATCTCTGTTAAGTGCAAGGGTCACAACCCGGAGTATTCTTCATTGGTATCAGTGTTTCTACGCCCCCTTGGGCAAGTCGGCCTCTACAGCTTTACAACAAATCCGGTGTCCACATCCTTCGCACGTCATTGTAACAAGGTTCTTGCGGTGATCCAATTGTTTAGCCCTGCATCATGGTCAGCGAAGGCTGAGTTGAATTTACTGTGCTGTCACATGCGAAGAGCATGCAAGGTTTAGCGCTTACGATGGTCGTGTTCGCTGTTTCGTCCCGTCTCCAACAAGTTGGTGGTGCATACAGGTATGGAACACTAATTCCGCACAACTTGCACCTAGCTTCATCCATCGTCAGTCACGTGTTTTGGAATTTTGAGCTGAAGTGTTTGTGTTTACAATGGATAAGACCCATCATTCTCGCGTGACCGGCAAATCTGAGTGCTTGTTCATCAATCCTTATCCACTAGAAGGCACCACCGGATGAGGGGACTTTTAGCCTCCTCGGATACACCGGCTTCAGAGGTAATGTGTGATACCAAAAATATATGTACCAGCTTGTGGAAAAATTGCACGAAAACTGAAAGTTCCTGAAAAGTAGTTTTCAAACAAAATGTTCAACCATCCTTTTCTTATCTGTTAGTATCGATTTTGTTCTAAGGCCAATGGGTGACCCGATTAGTACTCGTTACCGTCATTTGCAATTAGTTGTTAGTTTCACATTCTTTTTTTCATGAAGTACCTCCATCAGAATCCCCATTCACTTCCGTAATTTCTCCAGTACAAGCGATGTCGCAGTGGTGTGAGATCGATATCAACCAATAACAGAAAATCTACCGCAAAATCTTTTAGGAACATCCAGAAATAACCCAGAAACGTCCCAAGATAGGTGAAATCGATCGTGGGCTATCATCAAGAAAATTTACCAAAAGAAAATTTTTTTAGCTCGAGGACCAATTTCCGTTTTGGGGTAACGTAGTTGCAAGAACATGGTACCAACCTAAGCTTTGCCTCCCCACCTCTCGAAAAACAGCATTCTCAGAAAACCATACAGTTGCGGAGTTCAGGTGCACTGGAGACCTACTTTGACCTGAATGATAGACTCGAGTTCCATCTCCGTTTGCATTAGTATTCTGAAACAAATTACTGACAGATGCCCGAAGTGGTGCAGAGGACAGGTGATCAACTTTTACCCGGCAGAAGTGTATAAAAGTGATGATAAATTGTCTGGATATTTTTGGTGCTGTCCGCCTTCTAGGAAGGGGTCCGTGCTTGACCCTTCTGCTTGGCCACAGACGCTGAAAGGTATGACTGCCAGTCGATTCTGGTGACACCTTTGTTGGCAGTTTTTTTATTCAAATTTTCTAAATGTGTTTGGATGTGGATGCCTCGGTACGATTTTAGCAGGCTAGTTCTGAGTCTCTTCCCCTTTATTTCTCTTGTCAAGGCCAGGCTTTCAATTAGCTAGTGGCCGAACGGTAGCGAAGAGTACACAGATGGTGTGCTATCGATGGTAATGATGATGGACTGATAATCAAATGGAGAAGCCAGGGGGGTAACATTGTGAGCGAGAAACTTCTGTTGTGTGTTGTATTTTACACTGTGAAGCTAATTTCATTAATTATTGATTAGTAAGCATAGAATTCCCTACCCAATTGCTTCGCATAGATTTTGAGTCTAATGGGGGTCGTCTATGTTTTGGTTTGTATCCCAGGTTCTGGTCTTCCGAAATTGCCATGCGGACCTTGAAATCTTTGGCTGTTTGCTCTGCTGTCCCACAGACCATGGGGTTCATGACCTGAAATGAGCTAAAATCGCGTTACATTCAGCAGACGGCCCATGACAAGCATAACATAACCCTATCGGAAGATGTGGATGAAGTGGGAATAGACTTGTAGTCTGGGGTCATTCAATAAAAAAGTGCAATTGTGATTTTGTGGTCGATGTACCAACAGCCCCTCATCGAACGTTGGCTTTCGAACGGGCCTGAATTCCACGTTTTAGTATTGGTCGTTCGGAAAAAGCTATTCCACAGAGATAGCTCGTTCGTTCGAAAGTTCTTTCTCAACTTTCAGACCGAAGCATAAATGGGCCGTAATATGGAATTCTGTTATCCGTATGCTATTAAACTTCAACTCAAAAAGTTGATTCCTTATACTAGACGAAAGTGTATTGCTCGCATTATAATTAAAAATCAATACGCATTTTCCGTTATTTCGCGGAGCTAAAAATCGCTTTATCCAAGCTGACGATTGTTTTAGCTTCTATGAGCCTCAGTTAACTGTATATGGTAGCTTGGTATGGTATGAAAGCCTTTGATTGTGCTGTGATCTGGGTAGTTTAGAGTAATAATTGATTTTTGGGCATTGATTTCGTTGAGGGTCAAATGCATTCACTATGATTTTAACTTCAGTTCATATGACTTCAGTTACGCCTAAATTCAGATTTACTTTCCCTTATTTTTGCCATCAGATATTTCAGTCCGTTGTCGGTGTACCTGATGAAGAGTGTTCTGTTACTTTTGCGATCACGAACTGAAGTAGACGGATAGCTTGAGGTAAAAGTGTAAACTCTAACGACTCTGGTGCATTCTGTTTTGACGGTTGTTCTGTTCTGTGAAGTTGAAGTGGTGTAGTACCATTAGTCTTAGCACAAACACAGTTTAGCTTCCAACGTAGATCGCTTCTGTGTTGAGAGGCGTTACCTCGGCTACTGGCGTACAAATGACTGGCGATGTGGAATCAGTTGAATCTGATAAATGCACGGGGGTAGATTGTTACGTCTATCGTAATATGGTCTTCAGTTGTCGAGTTGTAGTCGAATGCCGTGGGTCAAACAGTTATGTGCTGAATCAATTAGCAGTTGATGTGGTTGAGATCGGGTCCGGGTGAAACTAGTTAGAAGGTTAATGGAATGGAATGTGGGACTGTCATTTCGCAGTGAAATCGTTCGTTACTCAAGAGGCACGTGATAAAAGCCATCTTATTTCTGCATTCTGTACTGTTGTAAACTTTTTAACAGATCGAATGCCAAAACCATTATTAGGCACTTCATAACATGTGGAGAAACTGTTAAGACGGAGCACCCCATCTAGTAGATAGTTTTAGCGGCTCGGAATTTTTACATTTCGCTCATTGAGGAAACAACCTTCTGAGAACAGGAGGGTATACACGTTCCGTTTCCTCGTACAGTTATTCTACAAAAGGTACACCACAATGGGATTACCCAAGATCACTGATTAGTCGCATATCCAGTCACCCCACACATCATCAGATACTTCTTAGTGAGTCTTGATCTGGTTTGGCTTAACACGCAAGCCGAACCATATTGTGCAAAGGAGTAAAGTTAATGAAACTAGCGATTAGGGTGAGGTGACGCCGACAAGGTCCCAATTACTGCTCTTGTTTTCGTTGTACTGTTACAGCAGGTCGTCATGAGTAACTTGCCTCACGGTTCTTGTTCACGTTTATCCAGTTGACCTGAAAACTGATCGCTCACAGCGATCTAGATAACGGGACTGATGACCGTTACACGGTTCACCACGTTACAGCAGTTTTTATCATTCATGGGAATGCGATAGTATTGAATAGGGAATTTCCTACAGAGGAAGCAAACGTTTAATCGCATACTCATCAAAGCTACCTAAAGAACTTGAGAGAAGGGAAGTTTCGGTATGGTGAGTGTGATACGGTTTTCCTTATTCACTCCTAAGATACACCCTGATCACGGAAACATTTCAGTACCCCGTAAAGATGTTTCTTCATAGGTGGGAGTGCTGGGCTATGTTCCAGTTTGCTTGCTGTGTGCCCTACCGCATTTTCTTCGCGCATGGCATCCCAGTTGGCAACATCAGAGCTTGCCTCGAGATATACATGGTACTGCACCCGGTGGATTGCAAAACAATGTATATTTTGATCAGCAAACCTCACTCTAACCTTGGCCAAAACACGCGGATGCACGATTTGAAGACACAATGTTTGGGTTAGGTTGTTGCTTAACTGTGTGTTTGTATTGCTGTACATGGTGTAGTCTCAGCTAAAGTTTGTCTTCTTTGCTTCACGCATCTTCGTCATATTGCCTAGTTTTACTGAGCAAAACGTCTTTCCTCGTGTTGCATAACGTCGTCATGTTGGATGTGTTTTTCACGTTCTTTCGTCCCCACACTTCTACAGGTTGCGGTAGTTTTTTTGCAATCCTCATCTACTTTGTGGTGCAAGATCCCCTGATGGTGCAATGGCAAGACAAAGCGGTGTTCTCTGCATTCTTCATCGGGGCTGTCGTTTGCCTTGGCTTCTCATGTCTCTTTCACACCCTATCCTGTCATTCGGAGACTATTGGTCGTTTATTCAATCGGTGGGTTCGATCACTCCGCATTTTTTGCGTTTCTGTCAGTTTTGTTGTCAATCTGCTATCCAACTCTGGCGTTACGCGTGGCCTTACCACGCCCAGATGAAACGGTGCAGCTGAATACCAATACTGATTGTTATAATGCAGCAGTTGATTCTATAGACTCTGTGTATGTGTTTTGAATATAACGATTGCGGTATTTCTGTGTGAGCAATGTGTCACTGCAGCTTTTCCTCTAAAGGTCTTCAACTTTTGAAGTTAGAGAGCACCTACCGCCGCCCTCAGTTTTTTTGCTCAAACCAATAGGTTCATGTAAAGTAGGTCAGACTGTTCATGTGTTGTTTATGAGTAAGAATTTTGCAGGGGACTTAACGTTCTGTACGCACTTCGGTCGGGCGAATACCGGATTACTGGATACTTTTTCAGTTTTTTCCAAACTGGAACATAGAAGGTGATGAGTAATGTCTTTTTCAAAAGGCGCCACAGAACCGTGAAGACTTGTTAATGCTTGGAGGTTCTTCCTTGTAATGACGGAACGGTAGCACCACCAATACACGCATGTGCTGTTCTCTAGAAAACAATTTGTCATTCTGAATCAACAAAGCTGTGGGCATACTTCAACACGTTTTACGCAAGCGTCTACCTGATCTTGTTGGCCGGTTTTGTAGAACATTGCTCACTTTGCCTCTCAGAAACATACCAGTTACTTGTTAGTAGTTGTACTTATGGTTGAACTTGTACTGGCGTGGGCCCTTCAGTCCTGTCACGGCTGTTCTTGTTAGTCTACAGGATGGAGGAGAAGCACTGTACACGACTTTTGAGTTTTGTAGTGTTCATCTTTAGAGCATATCGTCCGCCTTGTCGGTGTTGTGAATGATCACCTAACATGCGGGAAAAGTACGTTTTTCCTATTCCAGCAACACACTAAGGACGCGTCTGAAGTATCGTGCCTTTGCAGACAACAATGTTCGCGCACCGGGTTTAAGAGGACTGCAGCCCAGTTCTCACTACCCACTGCTGCCGAACATAACTCGTTGTCAGAATCGTCGTCGAACTATACTAGCGAGAATCATGTGGATACAAGCACACTGACTAGGTCAGAGAGCCCCCCCCCGCCTATTTCGGTTCACATGGGGACCATTTAGACCATTTGGGTGTCTCGCGAGTTCCCCGGTTTCAATGATACCTGTCATTTAACACCTGAGGGGCGTTTAATTAGGCGGACTTTTTCGACCGTCTTTATTCCTGAAACTAAAAGCGTACCGAATATTGAGGTCTTCATTAGCTGTCGTTTTATTGATGGTATCGGACCCGGGTCGTTCAAATGCCACATGAACCACGTAAATGTGATTCCCATCAATCCATCATTCGAGGACCATCCTCGCAATGATACCTGTATTCCACATACTATCGAGTAAGAATTGGAACGCAACTACTCTGTCTTAAACTGTTATTTTGACATGAAAGAGAAGATTTGCGACCTTTTGAAACCCGTGATAGAACAATTCGTCAGTGTGTGATTGTTATCCCCTTCTTGGAAGGGGCTCCCTTAGTTGGAAAAACCGTCACGAAAAAATCTGGTCACTTCTTCAATGACATGACAAAGACATGACAAAGACCTGACAATTTGCTAGGTAATCCAGACTATCAAACGGTCTACTTTTCATCACTGTTGTTCAGTTCCACTATCCGTTGGTTGTGGTGGCGTTTCATTCGGGCTAGCTTTGTCGTCTCATTGCGCCCTCAATCCATGGCGTCGTCGTACGTACATTTTAAGCTACTGTTTTACTTATGGTAGCATAAAGTCCATGGAACGAACGACCTTCCTGTTCTTACGATTTCCTTTCAGGCTGGACTATGCGGGGATCGCCTTTCTCACAATCGGATCTTTTGTTCCTTATCTTTACTACTCATTTTACTGTATGCTATGGGCCAAACTATTCTACACGACACTCATAGGAGTTCTCGGCACGGCCGCCATTGTCGTCTCCATGCATCGGTCTTTTACTTCCCCTGCCTATCGACCCCTTCGTGCTGGAGTTTTTATGGGTTTGGGCTTATCCGGTCTGATTCCGTGCATTCATACAACTATACTGGACGGATTTTGGCATTCTGTGAATAAGGGGTCGTTGGGTTGGCTAACTCTAATGGCTTTCCTCTATCTGAGCGGGGCCACTATCTACGCTGTTCGCGTGCCGGAACGTATTTTTCCCGGTCGTTTTGATATTTGGGTAAGTTCAACAGCCATGCATTTTACACATTTGTCCCCAAGTTCAGTTATTCAAATAGGTGAGACGTTTTTTTCACGTGCACCATTTGATCGTGTTCTCCGGATAATATTTTTTTGGCTGATCCCTGGCTGACTATGTCCCCCGCCAGATTCGCAAGACCAGTTTCAGGGAATAACACACGTAACTCAATTTCTTCTACACCAATAATTCTACCACCAAACTTCTGATCTTCAACTATGAGCTACCTGGAAGACTCTGTACATGTAACAAAACAATGTTCCTTTCAATTTAAGTGAATTTGCGTTACTCATTATTTCTACTATACTGCACTTCCAAGTGTTACTTTCCCCAAATCATAGACTGTATGCTCTTTATAACGGTTTCTCGAGCCGCCACGAGAACTAATACCGTAATAACAAGAGTGTATCACTCGCTACTCGTTTCTTCTAGAACAAAGGTTTTTTGGTTGTTTCGGTTTGCACGATCTGCCATCGCATGATGTATTGTCCCTCAATATCAGTTCTCATCGTTACCTTTTAGTCTTATCATCTTACCCACTCACTGCTGGTCTGTGATTTTTGGAGATCGTCGGTCAAGTTGAAACAGCATGCCTGTTATTGGCAGAGCTGCGGTACTTATCTCTGCACTGCCCATTTGTTATCGTCTTCTTGTTGTTCAAATTCACCATCACCCTGCTCCAATCGTACCCTGCTGTGTTACGTCTACATCCTATTCCTCGTCGTGTTCTCCCTTCACCGATCACCCATCGGGAATCTATTCATCGTTCTATTAATGCATATTTTTGTGATTCTCGCCATCCGGTACTCGTTTTGTATTGACTAAACTAACCCTAGAAAAGATTAAAGATTTTCTTTGTATGTCCTTATTTCGGGAACAACCTTACAGTTACGATCTGTATGTTATCGCACATCTTAGTTTTGTCAACATAATTAATAAGATATATTTCAATATTGTCCCCAGGAGAAGCTGCTTGATCTGGACAATGTTCGGGCCAATAGCCAGTTGGTCTTATTATTGTTGTATTGACATCCAGTGGACTTCGTAACAAAATAATAATCGTTCAGCTGTTACGTCCTTTTCGTACCGAGCTGCCATGCACCCCGATTCACCGTGGCTGCGATTCTGCTAGCTTGTCCAGGTATAGACGGGAACAGTCGAGATTCCAGATTTGGAGTTGAACTACGGATCGTCTGGTCAGTAAGTTCGTGCCTCAACCGAGCTCAGTGGATTTCATTGCTGAGCCAGGGTTTTCACACGAATGCCGATGAACTAATCAGCTGTTAAAAGTATGCAGTCTGCTGCTGAGTATCTAGGCCAGATGAGCGGAGAATTCAACACATGTGATGCGCACGCGAACGCACGTATTCACCAGAGGAGGATATAGCCATGGCGTTCAGTCTACGTTGTGAGTAAATCTAGTTAAAACACTTGCGCGGACGCAGAGAATAAGCGCAAATCGTTAACGTGACTGAACACTACACCGAAGGGCTTTGGACAAATTTCAAAAATAAGTTCACTTTCCACGGAAGGCCGAGTCCTTTTCCCCTTGCGGGTTTTTTTTTTT